TATATAAGCTCAAATTCTGGAAAAACTTTCACTTTGCCAGCTATTTTGCCAATCAGAGGGTGGTAGAGGTAATAAGGGAAATTAGTACATTAACAGGGACTCATTTGTCAAATTAATAGCATTGGTGGAAGAGATGGGTATGTGGGTATTTGTTGCAAGAAAGGATCTGCTGAGGTAGTGGCACAGGGCAAGGAGCTCACCCAGGCTGCAGCTGCTCTAACAGTTTGGGCTCAAGGTCTTCATGTGGATACAGGTGCAGCTGTAGGGGGAACAGATTCGATGTGGGCCAGCATCTGTGGGGAGGGCCTGATGGGAGGACAAGGGATGTGTGTGGCATTCTAGGGAGCCAGAATTCTTGGCATCCTGTCGACCAGAGTCCTGGCACAAGGATCAACATTTGGATCAAGGCAGAAATACCAGCAACAGAGAGAGTTGGCAGAAACTGGGAGAAGGGGTCAGAGCCCCAGCCAACTGGACTGGGCTGAGGACTGGCTCCTGGCCCAGCAGAGGACAGATGTGAAAAACAGGACCCTGGCAGAAGCCTGGCAGTCGGATCGGCCACACTGTGGGACTTAGTATTATGGGGTGCTCTGAGGGCACAACCCAACCCAAACAAGGGAAGATGGTGCCAGCATCTCTCCAGACCCACAGACAGCTACACAAGGTCTCACTCACTTAACAGTGTGTCCTCAGTGGGCTCTTACTCTGAGAATAAAGTGGGTAGGAGGACCAACTAGAACTGGCCTAAACACATATTCGAATTTCAAAAACAGTTAATCATACATTTGGGTCAGACATGTACCTAGGTGGGCTTTACAAAAAGCAGAGCATAAAAAACTCCCAGAAAATTTGTGGACACCCTTATGAAGATGAGGAAATAGGTATACAAGTTGGGAAGGGCTAAATATATATTTTCCCCAGCAATCATAAATGATCCCAATAGGGCCAGGGATTGCTCAGTGGTATCGCCACCTGCCTCGCAAGCACTAGGTCCGGAGTTCGATCCCCAGTACCAAAAAAAAAAAAAATCCCAATAAATAATAAGAAGCAATCAAATAAACCCATGTGACCCTGTAGTGTCCTCATGGTGACCTCTTGCTTTTTAATGACAGATGTAACCACTGAGCCACTGATAAAAATACAATAGCATCCTGGTTGTATTAATGTATTATCAAGAAAGCTAATGCCTCAAATGAGCAGAGCACACTGAAGGGGTATCTCAGTTATGTTTACAATAAGAAGATACAGAAAAAGATAGGTACAAGACTTTTTTAAGACAAGGTCTCTGTAGTCCAGGCTGACCTTGAAGTCTCAATCCCCTTGCCTAGCCTTCCAAGTGCTGGAGTTACTGGCGTGTGCTACCACATCTGGCAAGGGATAGGTATGATTCTTGAGATCATCACAGATTCAGGCTGGGGATTTAGCTCAGTGGTTCCGCCGCCTGCCTTGCAAGCACAAGGTACTGAGTTAGATCCCCAGTACCAAAACCCAAAATAAAACAAAAATTATTCGGCCATGAGATCATCACAGATTGGTTTCTATGGGAAGCAGATTTGGTCTGAGATTTGTATGCAGGAAATTAATTCGAATGTGCCTGCAGGGTCACACAGGTGAAGCTGAGAGAGGGGTTGGGCTGTGACCAAGTTACACCAGAGGAGTCAGCTGACCCATGGGGATCTCTGAAGCTAGCATGGCTGGCCCTGCAGAGATGTCTGAAATTAGGCCAAGGAAGCTGAGCTGGGCCTTTAAAACTCCTCACTGACTGATGTAAGGCATGAGCTGTCTCCAGAATGGGGGTATGAACTTGGGCAAGGTGGCCCTCTTTAGCCAAAGGCAATCACAGTGAAGAAGAACCTAGCTACAGGCTGTCTGCTGTCAACATTCCTAGAATGTGGTAGAATGAGTGCTTCAGTCCTAAGGTGCAGGGTGGGGGTGTGGGGTAGGGTAGGGATATAGGAGTTGTGGAAGGTGGGATTTGGGCACTGTTCCTTTCATACCTTCCGCTACAGTCCACCCCTTGCACTACTTAGATCCAATAGCTTTGTGTAAGTTCTGGGAGAACTACTTCAAGATTCTGATGAACTTCTTTTCCTGAGAGAAACTTACAAAGTTAAAGGGACAATGTGCAGCTCCTCCCACAGCAGCTGCTCTCAAGGACACAATTGGTACTTGCTGTGCGTTATGTATAGATATCCCCCAAGAGCCTCATGCACTCATAGGCAGGGTGCCTGGAAAGTGACTGGATTATGAGGCATTATAGCTGACTTGCTGTTAGCAGTTGGGGTACAGTCAGAAGGGGTGTGTCACTGGGGAGGGGCATGACCTGAAGGGTGTATCTCCCTTTCCACCTCCTCCCTTCACTCTCTTTGCTTCCTGGCTGCCATGAGATCAGGAGCTTTTCCTCCACAATGTTCTTCTGCCATGCCTCCCTGCCTTGGAGCCAGTGGACTACAGACTGAAGATGTGAGCCAGAATAAACCTCTCCTTCCTGTGTCCCAGTGGTGAGAAAGTGACCAACCCAGTGCCGCAACAATCCAGACTCCCCTTGTCCTCAGCTAGCCCCTCTGCTGATGTAGTGGTGGCATGACTCAGATCCTCACCTTGAGTGGTCTCAGCCTCCAGTTATCTTGCCATTTTCATGGTGTGGTGACACATGTGCCCCCTTTTACTGTCAAAATTGAGTGCGTAAGAGACACTCTAGAGTCTTGGGTGCCAAACATTCTCTTCTCATACCCTTCCTGCAGCTTTATCTCCTCCTGATGATCAGGATAATCATGGCTAGTGATTCCTTTCCTTGACTGCTGGCACCTCAACATTAGGAACCTATTAAGATCAGGTCCACATATAGTTTGAAATTTAATGAGGCTCTTGGTGTGCCCACTCTGGAAACATCTGAACCCTGGGGCCAAGATCTCTAAATGCACAGAGTCTAAAGTTGTGGGGGTGAGAAGCACACATTAAAGAATAGACTTCTGGGAGCTATGGTAAGAATTGCTTCTACCTTGGACCCTAAAAGATGCTACACCATATAATGGTCATTGAGTTAGAGACCACTATCTAAGACCTGGAGGACTGGCACCACAGTCTCACTGGTGATCATGTCAAAGTTGTCCTCAGAGCTTTCTTCATCAGGCTTTTCCATTGCTTCATCAGGCTGAACGCTTCAGTGTGTTACAGGGCTGGTGGATTTCATGGTCACATGCCCACTAATACACTTCCTTTCTCTAAAGTGAGTCCTTTAGTCTAATGTGATATTACATGAAATCCTATGACACTTGAAGAGGTCTTGAGATATGGTCTGGCTGAAACTCTGGAAGCAGAAAAGGCAAACCCATGACAAAAACAGGTGTCAAGGGCCGGGGATTTAGCTCAGTGGCACCACACCTGCCTTGAAAGCACAAAGTTCCGAGTTCGATCCCTGGTACCAAAAAAGAAAAAGGTGTCAAGATGAGCCACTCCTCTTTCCTGAATAGAAGGGCTCCAGTGAAGACTACTTGATGGTATGGTGGCATGTATCTATAATCCCACCTAAGTGGGAAGTTGAAGCAGGAGGATCACAAATTCAAAGCCACTCAGGGCAACTTAGAGAGAACTTGTCTTACACTGAATAATCAAGATCCCAGAAACCCAACAGAAGAACAAAATACTACAAGCAGTTAGAGAAAAGAAACAAATCACATTCAAAGGAAAGCCCATCAGAATCCCAGCAGACTTTTCAACACAAACCCTCAAATCAAGGAGAGCCTGGAGTGAGGTATTTCAAACCCTAAAAGAAAACAACCTCTAACCTAGACTGATGTACCCTACAAAACTATCATTCAGAATTGCTGGGGAAATAAGATATTTCCATGACAAAGAACACCTGAGAAACTTCATGAATACCAAACCAGCGCTCCAAACAATTCTAAACAATATCCTAGAAAAAGACAATGAAGGTCACAACTCCATGAGGCCCAACAGAGCAAATCTACCAGGCAAGGCAAGAAATTAAAGAGGAGGAAAAATATAAAAAGAGCCAACAACAGGAAAATAACATGTAAGTCAATACATATCAGTTATAACCATCAATGTTTTTTTAATCTCTCCTGTGATGACAATGATGATGATGATGATGATGGTGATTATTATTATTATTTGGTCCAGGGATTGAATTCAGGACCTTGTGCTTGCGAGGCAGGTGGTGGAACCACTGAGCTAAATCCCCAACCCTTTTTTTTAACCATCAAAGTTAATGTCCTCAATTCACCAATCAAAAGAAAGAGACTGGCAGAATGGATTAAGAAGCAAAATCCA